GTTTGCCAGGTTTGTTCAAGGAGCAGAGGGGAGGGTGTGAGGGGGAGAGGGCCTGTGGAGTTCGTGCTCATCTGGGGGCGATGGGAAAGGGGTGACACTTGGGCCTCCCACGTGCTGTGAGAAAAGCTCTTCCTTGCTGTCGGTGGGAGGCCTCGAGGCAAGGAAGGTGTGGGGGCCTCACGGCCCAGCTGGTTGGAGAACGTCGCAGCTCCAAGACCCTTCTCCCCCTCTAGCCTCCCTGCCCTTCGCTGTCCTGTCGCTGGTGAACGCCCCGCATAAGTGAGGATTTTACTGCGGGGATGACTCCATCCGGCACCCCTACAGTCCAGACACCATCACCCATGGGCTCATAGCCAGGGTCACCAACACAGCCACCATCCTTGTAAGGCAGGAGGGGTTCAGAGGCACAGGGAGGGGGGCGGGATGGGGTATAGCCTTACCCTGGGCTCCTGATGGGGGGTGGCCTGGAGGTCTGTGGGGGGGCTGGGGGACACAGCCTTGCCCCCAGTGGGACTTGTGGGTAATAGGAACCCCCTTTTGTTTTTTGAGATGGAGTTTCGCTCTCGTTGCCCAGGCTGGCGTGCAATGGCAGGGTCTCAGCTCACTGTAACCTCCGCCTCCTGGGTTCAAGTGATTCTCTTGCCTCAGTCTCCCCAGTAGCTGAGACTCCAGCCGTGCATCATCACACCTGGCTAGTTCTATATTTTTAGTAGAGACGGGTTTCACCATGTTGGTCCGGCTGGTCTTGAACGCCCGACCTCAGGTGATCTGCCCCCCTCAGCCTCCCAAAATGCTGGGATGGCAGGCGTGAGCCACCGAGCCCGGCTAGGGCCCTTTTAGAGTCCCCAGCTCTGCAGCAGCCTTGGCGAGGCCTGTGGGGAGGACTGAGGCCCAGTGAGGGCCCACGGGCTGACCAGGACCCCCGCTGTTCGCTGCGGCTGCCCCACGCGCAGGTCTCGGCGGGAGAAGCCTACCTGGTGCACACAGACTGGCTCTATTCCCGCTCCGACTCCAACAATTATGTGGCTGCCCTGTACAAGGTGCTGGGGACCTTCCTGTTCAGGGCGGCCGTGAGCCAGTCTCTGACTGACCTGGCCAAGTACACGATCGGCCGCCTGCGCCCCAAATTCCTGGCCGTCTGTGACCCCGAGTGGAGCCGGGTCTGCTGCTGGTTCTACGTGCAGCTGGAGAGGGTGTGCAGGGGAAACGCTGCTGACGTCACCGAGGCCAGGTGGGTGTGGACGAGCAGTCTTCACTCTGGGGGGCAGTGGGAGCTGAAGAAGCCCCAGAAGCCAGATGGTGAGGAGCCAGCAAGCAGGTGGTCAGGCAGGAGTGAGGCCTCAGGGCTCCAGGTGCCCCGCAGACAGCAGGAGGCTGGGAGGAGCATGCTCTGTCTGCCCCCAGTCTCAGCCCTGCCCTCTTCTTCTTTCTTCTTCTTTCTTCTTCTTTCTTCTTTCTTCTTCTTCTTTCTCCTTCTTCTTTCTCCTTCTCCTCCTCCTGTCTTTCTCCCTTCTTTCTTTCTCCCTTCTTTCTTTCTCCCTTCCTCCTTCCTCCTCTTCTTCTCCTCCTCCTTCCTCCTCCTTTTTCTTCTCCTCCTCCTTCCTCCTTCCTCCTCCTTCCTTCTTCTTCTTTTTTTTAAAGTTGGGGTTTCACCATGATGGCCAGGCTGGTCTTGAACTCCTGACCGCAGGTGATCCACCCACCTCGGCCTCCCAAAGTGCTAGGATTACAGGCGTGAGCCACC